GGCATGCATTCGCTGGTATCTTGTTTCGCTGTAAACAACAGTCATTTTGCAGTTGTGGAAGTATTTATACGGATGCTGTGACCTTGGATGCGCACGTAACGAGAATATGGTGTGGGCAAATAGGGGGGTGTGTGGGTAGGGTTAGGGTAGGGTTACTGTGTGATTCTAAACGGATATTATAGGGATATGTGGGGATAGTGGAAAAGAAAATGGCTACTATTTAGGCTTTCGTAGTATCTCAAGCGGCTTGGTGTTACGTGTAGACGTGAGGCTGGCATTGCCAGTTGCTGGTAGATGCTGCTGCAAGCTGAAGGTACGCTGTCCTGATTTGCAGCCAGACTGACTCCTGCTTGATACACTGCGTCTGAGTACAAATGAACCTCACCATCACTACTACCATGGCAACCCAGACTCATGCAGCATTCTGTATATTGACCTGGTGGAATAGCGAAACCTGATAATCCCCACCCGGCCTCTCTGGGTACACAAGAAACAAGGACGCTTGGCCTCTCTAAAAACAGGTGTATGACTTTGGGCTGACAATCTTAGGAGCCTAGTGGATGTCTCAAGTGAAATTGGGAATTAAAAGGCATTTGTATGTCGGTTTCCATCTTATGTGTACTTCAACCTATGGCCCGGGAGCCTGAACTCTGAATAAATTAGCTCATGAGATAGGGTTGACTTTGCGGTTCTGGTAAGTGTAGCCAGTGTGTCCTTAGAGCGACATTGGTGAAAGTGATGTTGGCTGTTGTCTCGTCTTTGAGGAGGACCCAGATGCATCCTACTTTACATATAGTCCCCTCAAGTAGATGGAATATGGCTTTGGGTATATTAAATTAAGATCCCCATACCCCATATTCTATTTACTTAAGGAGGACTATACCCACCGAACAACCTGAGTTCCCATCCGCACTGACTTGGTACTGCTCCTCATCAAGCCCGAGGAAAGCCTGAGTAGGCAAACTCTTGATGCATGATTTGAGATGTGCCGCAATATATTATAGTTCGCGCGATGTGGAAGAAAAGCAAAGTGCTTTGGTGGCTGCCCTGAACCCTCCACCGCGTGGTAAACAAAATAGCGACGAAAAGGTCACCAGGGCTGAAGCCTGCCGGCATGTTGGCGGTTCACTGTGTGTTTGGCCCCGATGATTGCTGCTCTCACCCTCTACATCCCCACATGCTGCTGGATCGTACCATAGCATGGGGAGCCTATGCAACACGCATACAAGGCCATATTCGGGGTCCTGTTGACGTTCGGGCGAATGCTTGGCGGTGTGGTTACTTGTGGTACAAATCGCAGCTTGCCGTTGGGGGTGCATGTTGACTCTAGGTGTCAGGCTGCTCATCAAAGCCGCAAGCCGTGTCAAAAATCAGCACTGCTTCTGCTTGGTCTGCAGTGTCTCTCTTCATTCTGCACTGTTTAAAGAGCCCCTCGGCAGTCCGACAGACGTGGCTAGAATTGCAACATCTGCGGCTTTGTTGGTGGTTCGCAAATGAGACTACAGACAAATTGGCGCCAAGGTTTCAACAATATTGCATCCAACCATGGGATCAAGACAATACTGAGCAAGTGCGAACTGTTACGACTCCAAAGATGACTAAATAGAATTAGGAGGTCATTATCTCAAAGCCCTTGCCTACAGCCTTGCTAAGCTATAGAAAGAAGATGTGAGCCATATAATAGGAACCCTATATAATCGCTATAGAATCCCCTTTAAGGAGTTTAGACTTTAGCTCATGTGAAGGCTAGGGATGCTTCTGTTGGGTTTAGGGTTTAGGGTTTGGGTGGCAGGCATGGTATGCTCGTGCGAGGCACAATGAGCGCGCGCCTGTGCCCCGATTAGGATCATGGAAAAGAAAATGGAAGCTACTACATTATTGCCCCGAACATTCCTTGATAAACACCACCCCAGCAAGGGCAATGGCATCAAAATAACTCAAAGGCTGACGAGAGGCGTGGTCGCACATGATGCGGGTCAGTTGCGGCGAGCACTTCACGCCTGTGCCGCGTTGGCAGGCTCAGCTTGCAGGTGCAGTGCAGACATCGAGCTTCTGTTGTGAAGTCCAATCGATAGACGATACCTACGTTATGATTATGAATTGCCAGCAGCCTTTAGCGTACACATATACATTCACATATGCGTATCATGAGATTTTCATGGCTCTACTCGTGACATGTTTGATATCAGAATTCTGGCAGTTTACTCTAGTAGGCTTGACAAAGACACACTATGAACATCCGTGGCTCGCGCCCAGGCTGGAAGAGGAGATGCTTTACACACTAGCTTCGGGGTTTGACGCATTGCTCAAACCAATCTTCAACTCCCTATGCTGAAGCTGAGGTCTTCGCAGATTGGGAATATCTATATAGATCATTGATTTTTGATGTTCACCTGATGCTACTGCAGGTGGTGTATTGTAATTAGATCAGCCGATGTTTGGCAATACATGTCACCACTGCATCGCTAGGACGCTCCTCACTTCTACACGACGTGTTCGTTACAGTACTACATCACAATTTCACCAGTACTACATCACAATTCCTCCAGCAAGCCGTCTGCAGCAAACGCACTAATCATACCAGCTGCAGCCTTGCGCTTTTGACTTGGCGTTGCACCCTGAGCTGGTGACATTCCAACCACCCAACTCACTCCGGCTGGCTTTGGTAGCGTTTGGCAAACACATCATCCCTCGCCAGCATCGCGGGGCCGAAGCTGCAGAGCCTGCCACACTGACGCAGAACTTGCAAGCGATGAGTCCAGCGCTCGAAGCTGAGCCCCAATATCATGGGATAATGCACAAGAAGCCTGACAGTTTGTTCCATGTGCATGAAACCCCCGAGTAAAGACATCTTTCTGCAAAGATTCTCTTCGATGCTATATCCCAAAACAGCTGGAAATCGAGAAATCACCGTGGAAACCTCCGCCTCCGACAGGCCCAAGTCTCGAAGCCATTGCACTGTGGGCTTCAGATTCTCTTCGATGCTGCATCCCAAAACCTGTGGCAATCGAGAAATCACCTTGGAAAGCTCCGCCTCCTGCAGGCCCAAGTCTCGAAGCCATTGCACTGTGGGCTTCAGATTCTCTTCGATGCTATATCCCAAAACCTGTGGCAATCGAGAAATCACCTTGGAAACCTCCGCCTCCTTCAGGCCCGAGTCTCGAAGCCATTGCACTGTGGGCTTCAGATTCTCTTCGATGCTGCATCCCAAAACCTGTGGAAATCGGGAAATCACCTTGGAAACCTCCGCCT